AAAATAAAATACTGATCGCCTTGAAAGAAAAAAATCAAGAAATGATAATTAAATGTGCACGATCGAAGTAAAAAGAACCTTATAAATTATTTGGCCGCGACAGAATGTTTTATAAAAAGCTATAGAATAACTAGCTGACGCCACAATAACAAGGCTGATGCTATCGCATTAAGTTAGTGCGAGACCAACCCCGAGCCTAATAAAAAAATTGTAAACAAAACTAACACCAATATAACTATACGATTGTACTTCATATAGTCCGAAAATATAAAACTACAAGTATTGTACATTATTGCGAAACCGAAGGAATACGATAAAAAATAGTTTTTACACCGTAATAGTTACGTATACTGTTACAAACCAATATAGGGTATTTCACAAAGATACTCCTTTACGATATCTCGGAAAGTATTAACAATTTTAGGAAAAGTATTTTTTTTTTCGATAATTTAAAAATCAAGCAGCTGTTTTATTTTTATAGTAACATTACTTCTAGCGGGAGGATGTGAAACTACTACCTTCTTTTGATTTCTAAACGGCTACATAATATTGAGTTGACGAAAATCAAAAATGTCAACGATAAAAATGTATTTATTACTAACACACCATTTATTTATGGAATTTTTAATACGGATCGTTGTCTGAAAATCGAAAAGAAATAGTCGTTTCTCCCCCAAAAACAAAGGTGACAAAAAACAACGGTAATTTAACATTTTAGAGCGGCTTATTTTTAAATTGTCAAAAACAAAACATCGAAAAAAGATAATATTTTTCGAGATATCCCAATGGGTTTATCTTCTTGGGATACCCTATGCATTATGATATATAATCATAGTGATTTGCGCAACGCAATACAAACTACAAAGTATACGGACAAATATTGTAAATTCCGATCAAACAGACAAATTATAATGCGTAACACAAAAGATGTTCTCGGAAGAAAAAATACGTATCAGCTTGAGGACGAGAGGGAAATTCACGCATTTAACAAACGTCCTGATGAACGTTTTAAACTGCCTCGAAACGAAATCGAAATTAAAATCCACAGATGATTAAAATTATTTAATGTGTCCTCCGGTTCTGGATACCAAACGGACGGCGTTCGTGAAAAACGTTATAAGACAAATTTTATCAGCTTTTGATGACAAAAAAGAAAAATAAAATAAAATAAAAATGTAATCTGTAGATTTATACAATTTTACACCGACGGATTTTCCTGTTTTTACTTTTATTCCTAAACGCAAGTGATAATTGAATAATGGTATTAAAAGTTAAATAGCAGTGACAGTTAATGTCGGTGCCGTTAATCGATCCGTCTTGAAATTTCCCACAAAATCGACGTACAACGTAAAATTTAACAAAAAGTAACGTGTACACCCGATTTCACGAACGAATACAAATATAATAAACCATATCATATCGTTATGTACGCAAGGCAAGTGATAAAAACGAGACACACGAGACTATAAATAATCGTAAATTACAATGATAATAATAATATATAGAATGAAGAGATAATGAATATTGTAATGTGAATAATCATTGTGCCAAGTCTTTTCCCGGATAAATAAATGTTAAGAAAAAGGTGAAAAATAAAATTACCAAATTAATATAAGGTTCGATAAGTCTAGACTCCTTCGCGGCGTAAACGCGCTGATATTTACAGTAAGTACCTAATAAAAAGACGATACCGAATAAAATATCGACGATACGGAAACGAGACTTTCTATATTGGAGGATACCTGTACGCGGCAGGTCTTAGTGAACGGTATGTTATTAGCAGATATTTTACAGAATAATAATTTCGGTACACAAAGAATGGGTTCGCCGTGTCTGGAAAACGACGGTAGCAGCGTTTTGTATAAGACGCGGAATATTATTCGACTCGTATATTATTACGAATTCGATACCCGCCGGGTACGTAATATACACGAATATTTAATATAATAATATAATATATAACACGACAAAATAGACAACACGTTCATTTGGTATTGGTTGGTTGTTTATTTTGGGTTAATTGATTTTTATTACACCAATAATGTATTGTATATTTAAAAATATATAATTAATATTTACAATAAAATGATATCTGCTCGCGTGGAGCGCGCAGTGACACTTAATGATGTTTAAATGTTTAAATGATGAAATTAAAAAAAAAAAAAAACAAAAACGGGAAAATATAAGAAATTTAGGTATTAGTTAAAATATATTACGGCCTTCTTTTTTTTTCTGTGCACAACTTTTCTACCAGTAATTTTGCTCCAACTTTAATGATAGCAATATTTCTAAAAGAAAATTTCACTAAGGAGGTACTTTAGAGAGGTAGTTTTTCGATTTTTATGATGAGTTTTCCCAGTAAATGTAAAAAACCGGGATAAAACATGAGAAAACCGGAAAAAACGTAGGAATATTGAGAAAATCGGTATAATATTAAAACAATATTATTCAAGAAAATGTATAAAGCTTATTTAAATATTTTACTTTAAAATGACATATACAAGTATATATATTGTTGACAAAACATCATTATCAACTGATCTTCACTCACAATCGTTTTTTCATAAGCAATGGTTTATCGTTGCTTATATGTGTACGTTAAATTATCTATAACAGTGGTTGCACCCGTCCCCATTATCCTAGGATATCATTTTTTAAATTAGATAGTTGGCAATCCTGACCTAGGCTTATGTATTTAATAGTAATTTACATAAAGTAATATTGATTTTTAACAATTAAATTTTGTTAATTTGAATAAAACCATCATGAAAAATACAAAAAAAATTACTCGTAAATTGGTTATGTAATTCGTATTTTTCACCCCCCCAAAAATTACTCGCATTACTTTACCAAAGTAATATTACCGATTTACAATGCACATAGTGGTTTAAATGCCGCGTTGCTTACGTACGAGATCAATTTTGTTACCTATAATATATTATGTTGTGTGTTCAATATTACAATTTTCAAAAATCCGTAAAATGTAAAAAAGTATTATAATTCTTTTTTTTTCTATAGATATAACCATTCTAGATCCAAATCCTTGTGCCTTGTTCCTTAGTCCCGGTCCGCACTTGTAATGAATTAACGATTTTAGATATTGCAATGCTGTTTATTTCTTCTTTTCTTCTTGTTGTCTGTGAACACACTTATTCTTAGTAAACTTGCTCCGAATTTTAGCGTCCAGCAACTTTTCTGAAAGCTCAAGTTGTCTGGACGGTAATTTAAAGACTTAATTTTTTGATTTTTGACGCCATTTTTCTAAATAAAAGCACTTAAGTGGAAGAAAAAAAACATGGGAAAACGTACAATTTTACGAATTCATTATTTTATGAAAACACGTTCGAAGTTTTCTGCCAGAAAAACTGATTTAATCGAAAAATCACAAGATACCCTTTTTGATTTACTTTCTTATGGTATCATTGCAAAAACTTTTTAACCACTTTTGACGTTTTAGGGAATTTTCATTTCTGAGAGTTTTTTTGCTATAATTCGGTTATAAATACACTCAAAGACTTGAAACTTGGTAATAATACTTATATTTAACTTACCTAGGCGTGGTAAAATTTCCAAAATCATCGTAGGTAGTATAAAATGGGGTGTAGGAGCAGGAGCAGGAGCAAGGTGCAAGGTGTAGGTGCAGGTACAAAATTTTTTTTTTTTAATTTATTTTCCTACATGCACTACGTACTTGACCTATTTCGTCCACGCTCCCCCCCTTTTTTTTCAAAATATTTTTATTTTTTTTTTCTACATGCACCACGTACACGACCTATTTAGACCCCCCCCCTTTTTTTTCCACACTGTTATCACCAAATACTACTATCGCCTTTCCCTACCCGCCGACCATCTCCACATACCCACGCACACACAAACATATCATCGCCCCGTCTATAATATACATATAGCCGATCCCTCTCCGAGAACGAAAAGAATGTTGACAGCGGCGCGCAATGTGTTTCTTGCCTGTAAGAGCCTGTAAGATCCTGTAAGATCCTGTAAGATCCTGTAAGATCCTGTACGACCATGTACGATCCTGTATGAGTTGGTCTCTTAGCCACACACCAAATTCGCACACCGTATATAATATGCTTGTATATGGTGTTTATATTTTAATAAGTTATTATTATTATTTTTCTAAACAATATTTTTCATAACATATCATTAGCAATCATCATTAACGAGCTGACCATAACCCGCCCGCCTATTAGTCGGTCAACGCATATCGTATTTCTCTGAATGTCGGCGACTGCCGATACAAAGGTTGATACATATAATTGTGTTTTCGCGCGCGCTACCATACCGTCGAATAACCTAAATCACCTCGCACTGTCCTACCCACCCTCTTCGACTATATCGCAAGTATAAGTACCTATACTAAATATACCTATACGGTTATCGATAGACAAAGAAGTATAATAATAGACAACGGACCTGCGCAGGCCTGTATAGCGAGAGTCTGTTACGTCCTCCTTTCCCCCGCCCGTATACCGTCCGTTACAATCAATTTTTGTCAACGACAATATAATATAGAAATGCAAGAAATAATTACTATTTACACCATTAAATGTTATCGGATTATTTATCCGTGACCACAACGACGGGACGATCGTTCGTCAGTAGTGATTTTACTCGGACACCAGTGTCCGAGTGCTCTACAGTTTTCTCTCGCCGTCACCGTTTTTTCTCTAAGTCATGATAATTTTCGTTGCTGATTAAATTTTTATTTTTATTTGTTCGTTTTTATATCCGATTACAAATGTACGAATGTACTTTCGCCGGTTGTAGCAAATTGTTTAACGTCAAACGTAATATGACTCGCCACGCTAAACCGCACGACGGAGTAAAATTTCAATGTGCTCTGTGTCCGAAAATGTTCGCGCGTAAAGACAACCACGATATCCACGTTAAAATTGTTCATCGTGACGGGAGAGTCGCCACGCCAGCTATTCTCCCGCAGGCCGGACCTTCGAATATTTCCCCGCAAGTCGGCACTTCGAATGCCGTCGACTTCGATTTGGACTACCGACGAAGAAAATGACGCGTTGTTTATGAATGTATGTCAAGCCATCGATGATATGGAAGGATACGATAACGAAGGTAAGATTTATATTATTATGGCCCACCACATAGCGAAGGAATTAGTTTTAATTTAGGTTTTTTTTTATTATTGTTATTATTATTATTATTGGTAGGCAGGAAACGTACACGCAAAGAAAAAACCGCTGCCGGAGTAAAAAAAGCAAGGTTAGAGTTAGTGAAAACACCCGGCTTCACCGAAATCGATTCGTCTTTCGATAGGACAGTATAGGAATGGTATAGGATAGTGCGGGGTGATTTAGGTTATTCGGCGGTATGGAAACGCGCGCGAAGACACAATTATAATAAAACATGCAATATAATATTTTGTTGTACGGATAATATTCGGTTGTAACGGAGGGTAGATGGGCGGGGTATAGGTGGACACTAGGATTGGTCTTGTCGATTATAATTCTTTGTCTATCGATAACCGTAATAAAATATTATTTTAGTATAGGTACTCATACTTGCGATATAGACGAAGAGGGTGTATAGGATAGTGCGGGGTGATTTAGGTTATTCGGCGGTATGGTAACGCGCGTGAAGACACAATTATACATATATATTACCTAGTTTACATTCAGCCCACTACCGTGGCAGCGAGCAGGGAAGTGAGCATAAAAATGGGCAGCGCGAGTATGTAAACACGTCACTCGCGCCGATCGTGCTCCTCGCACTGACGCTGCCCGACGCTCCCGTCGAGGGCGGTAAACTGAGCAGCAACATAACCGGCAATGCGATCAATCCGGCAATTGCTGCTGCTCGCGCTGCTATACTTAGCAGGGCAACGTGAAACACTCACTGCCGTCGACGCTGTCACAGAAGTATTTTTAGGAGTAAATGCGGCAGCGGCTGAATGTAAACTAGGTATATCAACTTTTGTACCGGCACTCGCCGACATTCAGATATGCGTTGACCGCCTAATAGGCGGGCGGGGTATGGTCAGCTCGTTAATGATGGTTGCTAATTGTATGTTATGAAAATTATTGTTTAGAAAAATAATAACAATAACTTATTAAAATATAAACACCATATACAAGCATATTATATACGGTGTACGAATTTGGTGTGTGGCTAAGAGACCGACTCATACAGGATCGTTCAGGGTCGTACAGGATCTTACAGGATCTTACAGGATCTTACAGGCTCTTACAGGATCTTACAGGCAAGAAACACAATGCGCGCCGCTGTCAACATATTTTTCGTTCTCGGAGAGGGATCGGCTATATGTATATTATAGACGCGGGAAGATGTGTGTGTGTGTGTGTGTGCGTGTATAGGTATATACGGATGTAGGTATGTATGTGTGAGTAGGTATGTGGGTCGGCGGGTAGGGAAATTCGATAATAGTATTCGGTGATAACAGTGTGGTAAAAAAAAAGGGGGGGGGGTCTAAATAGGTCGACTACGTGGTGCATGTAGGAAAAAAAATTGAAAAAAAAAAATCTCGCACTTGTACCTTGCACTTTGCTCCTGCTCCTGCGCCTGATTTAGAACACTCCTTTTTATACTACTATCGGACGATTTTTTTTTTTTTTTAAATAAGCGTTGTTTTGGAATTTTAAACGAATATCGCCAAAAAAAATACGGCACCTTAAATTATGTACTACCGAACTGCGCTCGGAATCGTCTTTCATCAAGTATTGGTTTATCATTGCTTATAAATATGAATGCTATAAACCGTATGTTTCTTAATTTCCCAACTTCTCACCTACAACAGTAGCCGCTCCCTTCCTAAGTATCAATTCTTTTTTTTTCAATAATGTTCGTATTGCCAATTAAATTCCATTGGTTTACTTGTAGTTGAAACCCGTATAGGTAATTTATACATTATTTGCGAAATTTTGTGAGAGAAATGTTTAAGATGGTCTTTATTAATAAATAGTTCTTATCAATAAAACGAAACAGTCTGATATCTGTTTTTATCCGGTGTAAATTTAATATCAATAAAACATTTAAATTTAATATTGTTCAAAATAATTGCAATAGGTACTCGACCAATGTTTATTTAAGATTTAAATTCAAATACCTTACGCCCATAACAATGGATATGTAATTAAGTTAGTTTTACGAGTAAATGCTATACGAGGTACAGATAATGTATAATACATATACGATGATATCACAGCTGATTGATTAAAAACACCTGATGCGTAGGTAGGTATACTATTCGACATTCACGTGGGAATTTGGTCGATTAATTAATAATAATTATCAGTTAAAAAACATAATACATGCGTTCAGTAATTAACACGCCGAGGTAGATAGTTATACATTTTACTCAAATCTAGTCTACCCATTCGTTTGTCACCGTTTTTATAGAATAGTCAAAAAAAAAATAGACGGACATACTTCGCACGTCGGTGGGCTACTGTTATAGGTGAGAAGTTGGGAAGAAATAGGGAAAATTGAATGTACCTATTACACATATATGTACACGCAACGATTAACGAAAAACGATTCTGAGAGGAGTTCGGTTAATAATGTCGTTTTGCCAACAATATATATGCTATATTATGGTAAAATAATTAATTAACCTATGCATTATTTTATTTTTTTTTTCAATTATATTTATTTAATATTTTATCTACTTTTCTCATTTATTGGGAAAACTCTTAGGAAAATCAAAAAATGACATCGCTAAAGTACCACCCCAGGAAAATTCCTCTTTAGAAAAACTGCTAAACTTGATACTTTGGAGTAATATTTCTGGTAGAATGTTTTTACAAAGTTTAAAAAAAAACATTTGTGTAAAACTAATACAATCTTCACTACACTCAGAATCTAAATAAACCGATACTGCTGATGGGTTTATCTTTACTGTAAATGGGGACTTCCAGTAAGCAAATTAGGATACATAGAGTTATTTAATTTATATCTGTACGCAACGATAAACTATTGCCAACAAAATAATTTTCTGATCAAAGTTTGGCTAAACATGTTATTTGATGTCATGTTTTGTACGATTTACAATCAAATTTAAACATTAAGCGTTTTTTAAGTGCTACTATTATATTACTACGCTGAACATTTTCTATTCTAAGTACAACTTCTGTCGAACCTCATGTAAAATGGCAAAAAATGCAAAAATGTCTAATGCCTATAATAGCTCAAAAATTACGAAGACTCGAGAGTGATGCTATTACCTGATTTCATGATGAGGAAAAACCTGTTGTTTAGGCTGAAACGATTAAAAATGAAGTTGTCATTGGTAACTGTTTTTACTTGTTTTCTTGTTATTATTAAGTTTTAAGTATTATTATTTTAAAAAATCGCTGTTTTCGTGAAAAAGCTCAATTTTTTTTTTTTTTTAGTCCTTTTACTTCTAAATTGTTTTTCATTAGCAATGGCTTGTCGTTGCTCAATAACTTTATACGTCCTACCTTCCGCACTACTTACCTACAGTGGCCGCACCGTCCCCAGTATCAGCTCTTTTTGTATGTACAATAAAATCATAGTTTATTGTTTGGAAAATGGAAACATTCCTAATTTTTTTTTTAAACATGCTTATATTTTCAATTCGAAGAAATTTGATGAAAAACTTAACCGTGATTCATATGTTTATTTTTTTACGTTTCAAATGGCATTGAACCGAACTTAAATTTAAAAAGATTTACCGAAAAAAGGTTTATCCCGTTGACTAGATCAACTTTAGAAATATTATTATTTTAATATGTATATATTATGTAATTTAATTATAATAAACAAAAAAAAAATAATAATATTTTTTTTGTGATAAATGCGTTTTTGATTAAATTTAACGAAAACTAACGAAGTAAAGTATTTATAATTATAATTTTTTTTTCAACTTAAAATGTTTCATAAAGAAAAATAAAAGTGTGTTCATTGTAAAATCGTATTGTATACAATACGGAAAAACGGATATTTATATATTATTTATATACGTTTTTAAAATAAAAATTATAATTATATTTCGTCTTGTTTTATATAAAAAAAATGAATAACAATAATAATATAAAAATTGTATTGAAATTAAAATTATATATTTCATAATTTCGTTTCTATAAATTCGTTGAAATATTATACACTGTAAAAAACATCCCTATTTTTACATTTTGATAAAAATACAATATATGAGTACACGATAAAAACCATTAAAAATCATACATTTTAAAAAACTGTGGAGGAACATTAAAAAAAAAGTTTTAAAAATGTTTTAAAAGACAATTTAAAACGATTTAAAAGTATAATATAAAAAATTATTTAAAAAATTCGCTAAAGAATCTTGACTTACGTAATATTGTGTTTAAAAGCATTATAGTTTTTGTAGGTAAAAAAATATATAATTTTGGTAAAAATACGTGGAAAAATATTTACAGTTTCAAATAAATCCTTTTTAATTGTAAAAATATTTTAAGGGTGGGTACATAATAAAACCCGTTAAAAATTATAAGTTTTAAAAAAAACATCGGAGATACATTAAAAAACACGTTTTCAAAATATTTAAAAAAACGATTTAAAATATAAGAACAAAAAAAATTAAACATTGTTTGCTAAAAATTCAAGGTAAAAAAAAACTTAAAATAAAAAATAGTTTAAAATTTAAAAAAATTAAAAATAGCAGTTTAAAATATAATAAAAAATAGAAATAAAAATACCGTGGATGATTTGAGGCAACCATTAATAAAATTATCCTCAAATTTCAACCGAGTAAAACATAGCTTCCTGGCGATCACTACGCACTGAATACAAATAAGTGCACAAATCATCATACTATATAAACGTATAAAAAAACAAAATAGATCATTTACGGCTAATTCAAAGACAAACAACATTATACTAACTTCGGATTTATCAACCGTTCTAGGCAAATGTAGAGTCAACTTCGGTGCCATCGATCTCGCGATCCGCGCGATGGCTTCGCCGCCCCCGTAGGCCTCGCCCAGGACCAAAGGGCTGTACGAATCCTGGCGGAGGTACTCGAGACCTCCCCACGGGGGCGACGTGACCACTATATTTGCCCGTTGACCACTCGGTCCGCCGAAAAAGTCGTTTTTACGGAACTCTATGTTCTTGGCACATCCATACACACCGACTATGTGCCGGGCCAATTCGAGTTTTGTGCCGTCTATGTCCATAGCCAACACTGATGCAAAATCAAAAATAAAAAATAAAAAAAAAACAGTTAAACATTAATTCATATTTTAAACGAAAATAATATATTATGTAAGTATAGGGTAGGTATAATAGATACGTTACCTTTACGGCAGGTTTTGGCCAGTTGGTTTATATTGCCGCCGGTGCCGCAGAACGGATCAACGGTGACCCCGTTTGGAAACCGACACCGGTCGGCAATATGCTTCTCCAATACCTCCGGACAAACCGAGTAAAAGCTTTCTATAAAACAATAAAAGTTATACAAATTATAATATTAAATAAACAAGCCACGAAATACGATAGGCTGCAAATATAGGTACCATGATCCAAAAGTGTGCCGGCGTCGAACCGCATAAAAAGTAGGTGCCGTTGTATCCAATACTTTTTGATGGCGTTCAATTCTGGGATCGTGGTTTTATCGAGAAAAAACAACAAATATGTATTAACACGTACATTTCTTTGTGAGTATTATTGTAAATACACGATTTACAAGTATTCAAGTATAATATTTACTTCGGTATCGTTTCCGCAGAACTTCTTATCGACGCAGGTGTATTTCTGTGCTTCCACTCGGTTGTACGTCGTTATTCTACCTGAAATAGTATAGTACATCGAAATGGGCTATAAAAAAATGTGTTTTTCTTTTTCAAATTATTAAGTTACGGAAAAAATACTTAGTCTTGATGGTACTATATAATTGTATAAGAACTAAATTATTACAAAACTACATATTAATTCCCAGCGATAAATTATTGGAGTGACATTTTACATGCCGTTCGTGGTTAAAAATGTTGGTCCCGTCAACACCGCTAATGCGGGGTTCTGAAATAAAATACAAAAAAAATTTTAAACGTGTTTCAGCTATTCAAAACGATAACAATTTGTACTTACAATCGTGTCTTCCTGTAGGAACTCGTAGTGGACATCGAATACGTTTTCTTCAAGTTTCTTCCATTTCTTTTTCTTTGTTTCCGTTACTCAGAGACATTGTTTATTGTCATTGTTGTAACGCAGAACAGCGTCTTCTTGTAAAAATTAAAATTTTCAATCCGTATCATCATTATCCGCATTTCCGGGTCCTAATCCATTCGCGCATTGACCGTCTTGTTGGTTGTCTGATGACGACATCCGGGGCGAGCCAGTCCCGACCACCATTCCTTGAAATCCCACCCCTTCCAGTAGAAGGGCTTCAGGAAAATTTTAATTGTGTAACTGACTTTGCATGGTTGATTTTTAAGGGAAATTCTACCCTACATTTTAACCCTACTGCTTTGGGTTTTTATCGGAATTTCTCCCCTAGGACGGTTGCCAGCCAAGACTGTAGAGATAGTCCTACCCTGTACTGTCCGCGAAAAGCGTCTGTAAAAAGCAAAACAAATTTTAAAAATCCATAAGAACGTGTTTGAGAACGACAAGTAGTGCGAATTGTACATATTGTACGTAGATAATTTATCGAAAACTCATATCGGTCCGTTTCGATAAATTAAAAACGAATTGATATTAAAAGTATTTTTTTTTTCAATATATATTTGACGACGGCCAATCGCAGAGTGAGACGATTATGAAAACGATTTCCGTCGGTCGTGTATCGTGTTTTAATTGTTCGTCACGTGGAAAGCGCAGTACATATAATCATATAATTATTATTGTTGAAATTATTTCGGCCGATTAACACGTACCCAGAATTATTTATTTAGTTTTTCTACATAGCTATCGTTATTTCAGCTCGTATTATAAGTACATCCTACAGTACAAGTAAATCTTGTTATTTGTGATCTTTTCACGCCTAAATTTCTAAACAAGAAGAATATATAGGCTATAACTTTTGTCTAGAGAAATAAAACACTAAATGGGGGGGGGGGGTTGACACAGGAATAGGTCATTATTAAAATATTTTTAATCAATACTCTCCATCTACCTAAATCGGCATGATTCTCCACGCCAATTTTTTTTCAAAAAAGGTGCTACATGTAAAAATCCGAGCAATTCTTCTGGTAAAAAGTTGCACATAGTAAAAAAATAATAATAATAATACAATTTTTTATAAAACTATAAGCTTTTTCGCTCCACTAAAAATCTAAAAAAGATACATGTTGATCTATCCAAAAGCTTATTGATTTAATTTTTGCCTTTGTAATTGTTGTATAGGCACTTACTTAATTATATTATTATTTAAATGTATAATTTGTAATCTTAATTATTATTTTTAAAGTGACATGGAATCATTAAAAGAACATTTTTAATATGCCATTACATTCATAACTAAAAACTTTGTTGCCTAATATAATTAATGTTTCGTTTTTGAGAAAAATCAATTTTCGAATCTGAGTGGAGCAAAGAATCTTAAGGTTTTACAAAGATGTTTATTTTTTTTTTGTGGACAACTTTTCTACCCGCAATTTTTCTCCAACTTAAAATGATAGTAATTTTTCTAAAAGGAAATTTCACTGGGGCGGTACTATAAACAGAGGTAATTTTCGATTTTCTCCGGAGTTTTTCAACAAAGGTGAAAAATAAGGAAAAATATGGAAAACTACGAAAAACGTGGAAAAATCAGGAAAAAAACATGGAATTATGGGAAAATCAGTACATTAAACAGACATTATTAAAGAAAATATATAATGCCTATTTAATTATTTCACCATAATATTACATATATATTGTTGGAAAGAACTACTATCAACTGACCTCCGCTCAGAATCATTTTTCGTTAGCAATGATTTATTGTTGCTTACTTGTATGTATTAAATTACATACAACAGTGGCTGCTCCAGATCACATTATCCTAGGACGTACTTTTAATTTTAAATTGCAAAAATATATATTTATCGTAATTAATTTGTAGGGAATTTAATTAATATCTTAACCAGATAAATTTTCCTTAAAAATTGGAGTAAGATTTCTGGTAAAAAGGTGTTCTCAGCTAAAAAAAAATCAACTTCATTGGAAAAACTTTTCTGGTCAAAATACGTTCTGACGACTCGACCTAGAAGTCGAAGTGCGAATTTGTGCAGTCGTAATTTTATTGTAATTCGGATAATGCATACGTTAAACAACTTGGCGTAGTATGGAAAACGTGATGAAATTGTTGTATCTAATATAGATATACTTATGTATGTACACATAATTCCTTTAATGAACTGTATAGGGACACTGTGTGTATGGCGACAAAACGACATTGACCTGTCGATAGCAATTAAAAGTTGAAACGCCATCGTGAAAAGTTTTCGACCGTTTCCGTTGTACAGTGCGATAATATTTTACTATTATACACTCACGACCGAACTGCATTATAATATAGCCGGCTAAAATAAAATCTGCACTTAAATCTGCTCGCAAACGCCGTCGCCCAAATCTTGACGAAATATCGCGCGGCTCAATTTTTTATACATATTATATACATATAATAAAAAGCGTCTAACATTTTATATTATATATACGAACTCATCCGAAAATAATGGTGTTCCTAGCGTAACAATCACCGCAGACGTATTAAGGACCGACAATAAAATAGAAAAATTTACCACCCAACGCTATACGTATAAAACGATGGTTTTCGAACGACCTCATTACCATATAATGTCTATTCACTCGATTTCTCTTTTTTTTTTTTACGCACGTTCTAATTTAAAATATCCCGTTTTATAGCTACCACCATGAAAAAATTAGAAAATAAAAAAAAAAAACCATACTGGGGACGGGTTGGCTACTGTTTTAGGCAAAAAGTTGGGAGACAGTGGTGACCAAAAGAATAAGGTACATTTGAAGTATAGTTAAGTGTAGCAGTTGCTGCACGTCATGTTTTGAATGGATAGGTTGATCTCGGTAATTGGGATCAGGGATAGTCGGATAGAATGGATAATAACCTGCATAAGGTAATACACTTGAAAATCGGAGCAAGATTTCCGATAGAAAAATAGTTCACAATAAATAAATAAAAATTAAACATTACTGTAAAATGAATACATTCCTCGATAAGCTCAGAATCTAAAAATTACTATGTTAATTCATCCGAACCAAAACGGACAATATAACATAATGATATTACGATACGTTTGATTCTGAACTAAGCGCGAAATGTATTGGGCTTTGCTATAGTGTCCGTTAACAATTTTTCGACTTTTTTTCTAGCTCTTTGATTTAATTGGTGAGTCATGAATGCAATTTTTTTATTTTACTTGTAGTTCGCTAAATAAATGGGAAATGCGAACAAATGTTTAAACAGCTTTCGTTGATTTCCAGGTTTCCTTGGCAACAAGCAAGGAAATACGATTAATAATGTACTTTTTACTTTCAACTTCTCTCCTTAAACAGTCACATACCGTCCAGCGGTTCCACGCTCCAGCCATTTAGATTCTGAGCGGAATATAGCAGAAATATTTGACAATTTTACTAGAGGTTCAATGAGGTCTGATATATTATTATTAAGTGATAATTTATTTTATGCGATGGTTATACTGCATTACGCATATTGTTATTTCTATAATTTTATACATAAATTATTTCAATTATATTTATTCTAACCAATTGTTGACCACCGTTGTGCCGTATGATAATGTGTGTTGAGATATAATAATATAACATATACTGGTATAACTGTTATAATAAGACATATGATGTTATAAATTTTAATAATATTGTCAAGACGATGTGATAACAATTTATAATTAAGGTGTAATATATTACTACCTTGTATACAATATTATAGTACAATATCTTAAATATGGCTGAAACTATTATAAATGTTACTCATTTTGCACATTATTATTATTTAAATGTGTGACAACTATATAGTAGGGACCTACTTATTTTCTTAGGTAATAACCTCGTACTTTATGCAATAAACTTTTGTCCCTAATGATGCATTCAATTGTATAATAATTATTAATAATTACGAATTAGTCTAATTTAAATTGTTATTTATAACTACAATATTATTTATATGTCATTTTCAAATTTTGCATCTGGACTGTGCAATAAGTTCAAATACTTTGACGAATGATAGGTAATGAATATAACTAATAATTATATTGTTTTCGATTTTGTTTTTTTTTTTTTTTTTTTTTATGAAATTCGGTTAGACGCACGGTTATCGATATTATTATTTTCCGTCGCCATATGATTTGATCGTCATGCATCAAATTAAATTCCACGAATCAAACGATTTATAGACGGTTAACGGTTTTGTGACGGTTTGAGAGAATGGCAAAAAAATCCCGTACATTTGATATCATACCAGTAAATTATAAATCCGCGTGAAGCCCATCGCTCAAATTTTTCAGCACGTCACACCAAATTTACTGGATTTCTTCATTCCAAATTTTCTCACACTGTCACACAAAATCTTGCAGTCA